ATATATATATATATATATATATATATATATATATATATATATATATATTTTTAAAGCACACTGAATGAGGCAAATGCTGCCTTTCAACAGGGAAATTTCCGTCATACACCACAGAGTTAGGGAGCCTTGGCCAGCTTCAGGTGATGTCATCCTCTTCTCACTCACTGAGGGTTGGTTGGGGGAACAGAAGTCAAATCCTACACTCTTGTATGTTGTTTTTAGTAGTATCTGTTTTTTAAATGGCAGTAATTCACACCTCGTATTATACCTTCAATAGACAAATCTAAACGTATTTTCCCCTCCTTTTTAAAAGATTTTATTTGACAGAGAGAGCACAAGCAGGGGGTGTAGGGGAGAGAGAGGGAAAAGCAGGCTCTCCGCCAAGCAGGGAGCCTGATATGTGGCCCAGAACCCAGGGATCATGACCTGAGCTGAAGGCAGATGCTTACCCAACTGAGCCACCTAGACGCCCCTCTAAATGTATTCTTAACCTCACCAAAAAACTCTTTGAATTTCTTCTAAGGCTCATAAAATCTTGCAAAAATAAGACCACATTCTCTAAAGTAACTTATAAATTTACATTACACTGTAAATCAAATTCTTCTTACAAACCCAATTTGTGCAAATCCACTGCCTTTTTGAGTGAAGCAAAAATATCTTTAATTCACAAGTTTACTACTTTTTAGAAGCGACATATTGTAATTAAATGAGTATTAATTTGAGAAAGGATTACAAAGGGATTTTAAGGGGGAAAAAAATGATCTCTTTCCCCAAAAGAGGGGGCAGAAACTAGCTGCTAGTTGTTTCCTTCATCTTTGTTACACTTCTATAAAAGCAGTAATTTAAAAAAAAATTTAGAACTATGTGTGGTGAGGGATGTTAACTAGTGCTATTTCACAATATATCCATAAACCGAATCATCCTTTGATACATACATCAATCAAGGCTAATACAATGTCCTAGGTCAACTTGTATCTCAATAAAAAGATATATTACTGTCCAATCGAGTTTAAGAGGGCCCTTTCTGCTGTCTTGTATTATTAGGAATGAAGTGGAAAATGGCAGAAAGTTATGCTCAGGTTAGGCCTTCTGGAAACCAGAGATTTCTTGAACATCACAAAAGGTGGGTCAAACTTTTTGGCCTCCCCAGGGCGAGCCAGAGGGAGCACCCCGGTGCCCACTTAGGCAGGTTGGCCATCCCACTTCCTTTGCAAGCCTCACAGTTTCTGTAAATCGAAAGTAAGTTAAAAGGGGGCCATCAGCGTCTGATGCAATAGCAGTATGACGAATTTCGAGCTCAGAAGCTGAAGGCCGCCTTCGCTACACCCCCTTAGCGGATGGCTGCCCTGTTTGTTAAGATTTATAAGGGAGAGGGCGGGTCTAAAAACTTATTCGATGAGGCTTTATGGAGGGAGGAGGAAAAAATGGATGGATGAAAAACCACTAGAGGCCATCTGCTGTTCTCCTATCCATCTCCACAACTCGTAACGACTGTTAAAATGTTACCACTCAAGACAGCACAATTTTTCTAAGACCTCCAGTGGTCCTCGCGGGGCCTCCGTAACGCTCCATCAGCCCTCGGTGGCAGAGCCCCCATAGACCGAAGCGTAACGGGCCGCTTTGTTTGTGCTGGGGGCCCGAGATTGGCAACACTCAGAGCGGGGCCCTCCATGGTCCCCGACTCCGGAGGAAGAGGGCTGGTCGCCAGGCCGCTTCCAGAGGAGCCTCTCCTGTCCCCACCTGCCGCGACCAGGACTTTCTCCTCGCGACTGCACTTGCACTTTTTCTCCCCGTGGCCCCGGGGCAGAGAAAGTGGGGCTGGAAGGCAAGCGAGGCGAAAACAAGGCTTTGTGCCTCCGCTAAAATCCCAATGTGCATCCCATATCGCGTTTCCTCCTGGCAGTCTCCACCATCCCGGGTAAAAACTCTGAAGAACTTCCCGGAGGCGCCCCCAAAGCATGTACAAGGGCGCAGACCCGCCGGGCCCGGAGGCCGCAAGCTACCAGGAGGACCCCGCCGGGACCGGGACCGAGACCTTGACCCTCGCCCCGGCCCCCGCCCCGGCCCCCGCCCCGGCCCCGGTCAGGATCTCCGCGGACCCCAGCGGCTCCCTACCTGCCGGGGCCCGCGCTGGGCTCGGCTGCGCGCTCTTACGCGCCTTCTTCCCAGGCATCTCCACAGGCAGCCACCGGAGCTGTGCGGTAAAACCCCGGGGACCTCAGTCCAATCCGATCCCCCTTGGGGCAGCAGGAGGCGAGCAGCGCGCGGATCGCTGACGGGCCGGAGCAGCGCGCACGACCGGAGCGAAACGACGACCGCCCTCGGGCCTCGGGTCCGGACGATTCTCGCGCCCGCGCTCGACTTTTATAAAGGGACTGTCCCGGGAACCGTGACGTAGCGAAACTTGACTGTGCGCCCGCCCATGTCCCCGCCCCCGAGGGCCGCCGCAGTGGGGATCTGCCCGGACTCGTTAGCGCTCCGCGGCCGTGGCGGCGATCGGCGTCGAGACCCGGCCCTGCTTCGCCGTGGAGACCCGGCCCTGCTTCGCCGTGACTCCCTTCGCGAGCGGGGCCCGCGCGGAGGGGGTCCCGGCGGAGAGCGCGCCCCCGCCGCAAGTGGCGTCGGCCGCAGCTGTGGCGGAGCCGGGAAGTCGCGGGAGGGGAAAGTTGTAGCGAGAAGGCGGCGGCTTGGGGAGGCCGGGCGCCCGGTCCTTATCGTAAACGGGCAATTAGAGACTCTGACGAAGCCGACCCCGGAACCAGATCCGAAAGGGGGAGCTCGAGCTCGGAGGGCACGGGTGGTTGCGGGGAAGTGAGATGAAGAAAACGTTCCCAGCAGTAGAGAGGATGCCAGAGGCAAAGGGACTAACGTACCAGACTAAAACCCTGGGGAGAGCAAGTACACACGGGTTTGATCTGGAAGGGGGGTGGGGGAGGTGGGCAGAGGGCTTAGTCCCCCGCCCCAGGTTGGGCTGGTGGAGCGTATTCCCTCTGGAGAGGTCGACATTAACTCATTGGGATGCTGCTTAGTAACGTGAGAAGAGTAAGTCATCATATGGGACACTTTCAGATGCTGTCGTGGAAGGAGAAATGAGGTATATGAGGCTACCTACACGATGTTTGGCGGGTCCCTGAACAATGCCATTATTGGAAAGAGGAGTAGTAATTGGGATTGGGTTATAGGTATTGAGAGCCGCTAAGTGAGAAGGGCCCGAGCGGGTATTTTCGCATTCTGTCCTCAGAACGATGCTGCGAAGCTGCCATTCTTACCCAGAAAGGCCAGTTTACAGGTGAAAACTTGTTTAACATCAGGGGAAATCTGGAGCGCCTGTTGGCAGAGAGCGGTGCCAGGATCTGAACCTAGTCAGGCCCCCTGCGGAGCAGGAGCTCTAACCCACCTCGGCGTTCCCAGTAATAACAGTTTTGGGGGAAAATGAATGTTCATCATCCGCGCTATTCAACGAAGAGGTTGCACATGGGCTACTGAGAACTGCGTGGTTCCCCGGAGTGTTCTGTTTGGCTCATGGTACTGATTTGGAAAATGTGTGGGAAAATTTGAATTGGTTACCAACATTTAAAAATTGAGAGATGACTTTCAAAGCTCCGATCTCTGGCGTCCTTTGTAAACGGGGAAGCTCTGAAAACCCGGGGTCCGTTTTGCAAAAGGCCGGAGCGCGCTAGAACCCTGGTGGCAGCCTCGGCCCCGCCGCCCTGGGGCGGGAGCTCCCGGCGGCCACGCCCCCTGCTGTCGCTTTTCTCGTTTACATTCTGTGCCCCCAGTAGGCGTTTGAGCTTGTTTATTTACCTGAAATCCTTCAATCAACACAAACCTGCAAGAATTTATTTATGGCTTGGTCCTGCAGAAGTCTAGAGGAGGCTATAATCCAGGAACGAAACTACTCCTGAATTTAAACAACCTAGTTTATTTTATTTATTTATTTGAGGGAGAACAGGAGCAGGAGGGGAGGGGCAGAGAGAGAGGGAGAAGCAGACTCCCGGCTGAGCAGGGAGCCCAACCCAGGGCTCATCCCAGGAACCCAAATTCATGACCTGGGCCGAGGGCAGATGCGGAACAGCTGAGCCACTCAGACGCCCCCCAATTTTGACTGACTTAATAAGGGACACCATTAATTTTCTGACTGGATAAATTACTAAACTTCTGACACATTCAACAAAAGAAAAGCAATCCTACTGTTGTTTACCTACAAAGGGTGTGCCTATCCTGCCCTCTAACATTATCATTATAAAAGGTTGTTAGCCACGGGACCCGTACTAGCTACAAACCTTAGGCGAGTGGTTCCTTTTAGCGAATTGCAAATTCAACCTGCTGGAAGGAGAAGGGAGGGGGGAAGTTGGGGAGGCGTCATCAGAGGTGGGTCAAATCAGCGATTTATGGAGCCCCGTTTAAAATTTTGGGTTTGAAAAAAATAAAATAAAAATTTGGGTTTGAGATGGTGCGTAAATTCTCAGATTTAACATTCTGTTAAGGGAATTTGAAGTTGAGTGTGTAAAGGCTCTCTTACCTGTATACTTCTCTGGAAAAGTGACGTTATCATTTACTGAGAACTTGTGAGAAATATAAATGTATCAGGATTTTGACGGCTAGGACTCACAACAACAAGATTTATCATGAAGCATTAGAATCCTGTTATCTGTTAAGGAAGGAAGGAAGGGAGAGAGAAGGGCAGGGATGAGGAAAGGGAAGGGGAGAGGAGGGAAAAAGAACTGGGGAGGACAATTTTTAAAACTATTACCAGGTATGAGTTTTCATGGGCCAAGTTTAAAAATAACGGTACAAATCTGACAATGCCTGTGTTGTCATTATGTGTTTTTTAAAAAATTACTAATAAAACCCAAAACAGAACAGAAAACATGATTAGTAATAGAACAGTCATTCACATATTTCGTGCGGAAAATAGGATTTGACAGGAAAACAAAGAATATGAGAGACGTGTAAGGGGAACTGTGACAAAATACATAGGCTGGAGACATGAGTCTGTTTATTCCGTTAAAAGGAGACTTTTTTTGTTTTGTTTTGTTTTGTTTTCCTGTAAGACAGGCTTGTTAACAGGAAATCAGACTCAGGCATTAAATCAGCGAAATCTCCGTTTAAACAGCTGCTCTGCTGGGTTCTGGGGACACAGTGCTCCCTGCCCCCACAGAGATGATGTGGAAGACACCCAACTCTCAAATTCAATGTGTGTTAAGAATCACTTAGGGGGAAAAAAAAAAAAAAAGAATTACTCGAGTATCTTGTTAGAATGCACATCAGATTGTGAAGACCTAGCTGGGTTTGAGGTTCTGCGTCTTAAACTCTGGTGATGCCCAAGCGTCGGTTTCTCAGACCTCACCTTGTACAGCAAGGCTGGAGGGTGATATGGCCAACTACACGGGCGGAGATGTAAACAGGCAGAGATTTCCTGTCCCAGGGAAATTATGTAGGACTATGGGACAGCCTGGGCGGGCAGTGAAGCGGGAAAGGCCACTTACATAGACACCAAGGAAAAACAGGATTGGCCAAGCAATGAGGCCAAAGGAAAGATGTTCCAGGCAGAGACTGAGGGGCAGGCAAGGTGAGGAGGAAGTGGTGAGAGGTGAGTGGAGAGGCACCTGAGGAGTTTGTGTATGCTTTGGGGGGCAAAGGGGAACCACAGAGGATTTTAAGCAGGTGGGTGATAGGATCAGATTCTAGAAAGTTCACTCTGGCTGCAGCATGACTAGATTAGCTGAGCTGAGAGTGGAGATGGTGTGACTCGTGAAGATACATAGTATGGTCATTCTCATACAATATGGTAGGGTCAGCAAGGACAGTCACTGTCTCAGCCCTGTCTTCCTAAAATGCCCACATTTCCTGACTAGGGTAGGACCGCATTCTATTAGAGCATGACTTGGTATTTTTCAGCATATATAAAATTTTCTCCTATATTAGTTTCCTAAGGCTGCCACAACAGAGTACCACAAACAGTGGTTTAAAGCAATAGGAGGGTAGGGCACCTGGCTGGTTCAGGGGACGGAGCGTGGAACTCTTATCTTGGGGTTGTAGGGCGGAGCCCCATGTTGGGTGGAAAGCCACCTAAGAAATGATACCTGACCTCAAGTAGTTTACAGTCTAGTTAAAGAAATAAAATATATCTGAATTAACAGCAAGTAATTAAAATGGATTATAATGTATTATGAAATTATACAACACATGGAAATATTTTTACGAGATAGTTATGTGAAAATAATTTGTACATGATATGCTTTTCTGGATGAGTGTTATATTTCACAATTTAAAAAATTGATGTAGGGAAAGGGAAAAGAAAAAAAAAAAAAAGACCTGTTCATTATCCTCAGGAGACAAAAGAAGCCTGGACCTCAGAATAAACAGGCTTAGGAAAAAAAGGAAAAAACCGGTAATAATCATACATATACAATTTGACCCATAGCATTTGCGTGGTGGAATGGGGAAGGAGAGCTGAAATGCTTGGTAATTGCGATAGTAATCATGAACCACATGAGGCAGAAGGGGCAAAACATGCCACAATTAGTCAGATGAGGGGAGCTAGAAATTAGAAGATGTTCGGAGTGTCCAGAAGCTTTGAGTGTTACCAACAAGCGAGCAGAGTCGTTACCCAGCGGTGTGGGTAATTGCTGGCTTGAGCGAAAGGCACAGTCTCTCTCTGGCACAGAGACTTGGAATGTAGGCTGAGTTGTTGATTACCTTCATTGGTGCCTAATCTAATCTGCCAACAGCACCCACACTTGGACTGGGTGTCCCCGGCATAGAGGACCTGTGAGGTGTGGGAATGTTGGGGGGACACCCATGCATCTGATCTCCACCTCCTACAGCCTCCTTCCTTCCTCCCTGCTTCTGAGCCTTTGCCCTCAGCCTGGACTCTGCTAACCGTGCTCTTTCTCCTGCTCTTTCCCTGACTAATACTCCTGGCCATTCAGGTCTCAGAACAAATACTATTTTCTTGGAAAGGCCCTCCCTGACTATCCTGTCTAAAACTGCCCATCCCTACCCTCCATCTGACTGTCTTCCAGGAAATGTATTTTATTTAGTTGTCTGACTTGCTAATTGTTGGGTTCTGCTTTTGAACTCAAACTTCACATGAGCTCAGACTTACATGGTTTGTTCTCTACTGTTCCCAGCGCCTAGACCTATGTTGCTGGGCACATAGCAGACACTCAACAAATACTCATTGAATGAATGCATGGCCATTAAGGGACATGTTGAGAAGGACCTCCCACTTTAAAACAATTCTGTGGGCTAGGTTTTCACT